GCAGATCTCGTGGCAGGCGCAGCACTTTGTGAAGCTGGATGTGCAGATTTCGTGGCAGGCGCAGTACTTTGTGAACCTCGATGTGCAGAGTTCGTGGCAGGCGCAGTACTTTGTGAACCTCGATGTGCAGATTTCGTGGCAGGCGCGGTACATTGTGAACTTCGAAATGCTCCTATGTACTTGCCTGTGTGCTCTCAGAGTGGTGCTTGTATGCGCTCTCACATTTGTGCTCTCAGATGTGTGCTCTCATGTGCTCTCATATGTGCTCCCATATGCTCTCATATGTGTGCTCGTGAATCTCGATGTGCAGATGTTCTTGAAGGGTTTTGAATTTCAATGAACTTGCCGTTTTGGAAGTTGTTGGCTCGACCACCACCGTCAGCGCCACCTTCACCACCACCAGTACCATGACCAGCACCACTACCTCCACCGCCACCACTTTTATAGATATTAGGACAAACCACCTGGCCAGCCATGGCCGCCGTCACCTTCGCAGTTTTACTGGGTGCTGTATCCGCGTCTGTGCGTAGTGACTTGGAGCATCTGGGGTCGTGCGTTGTCACTGATGCGCTTGTGGTTGCACAGTGCAAGGCCTTGTTGCAGGGTCTCAATTCCAACACAAAGGGCCTTCGTGAAGCCTGCCAGACTGCAGATATCCGTGGAAAACGAAATGGAATGCGTTTGAACCAGGAGGAACTCCGGGAACTCGTCAAGACAAAGCTTTTGAATTTGTTGCCACCCGTGAAGTTTCAAGCGTTGCTCCAATATGCATCGTTGGAGACGCACGTTGAGCTTCGTTCCTTTGGTGACGTCTTTGTGGCAGCGCAGGAAGCTGGAAGGATCAAAGAACTCTTGCTTGTTTTGGGGCCTGGTGAGACCAGCCAATCAAGATGCAGGGCTGTTTTCCGTGATTGGGGCGTGGCGCGGCGCGTTGCCGGTAGAGGTACCGAGCGCTCGGTCGATGCAGCAAAGTCAGAACTGATGGGTGTATGTATACGTTTTTTGAAAGAATGCGAACACACTCCCGATGGGCGTGCTGCATCCTTGTCTGGGCCACCCGACCGGGGGCCAACCAGTCTCGCGGAGGCCGTGGCGTTGCTGCAGTGCAATCGTGCTGTGCCTCTCAAGCGCGCAGTGGGCAAGAGACAGGCTTTGTCTGTGGCGCCTGTCGAGCTCAGCCAATTGTTGGAAGGGTTGCACAGTGGGACAGTGACGAAGAAAGAGCAGGTTCCTTCTATGTTAGTGGCCGGTTGCAAGGCACACAGGAAGCATGCTGGTCGGGTTGTCCGCCCGGAGCCGGAGTTTGCCACGCGAGAGGCACACCGAGGAGCTGTGGAGCGTTTCCGAAGCCATTTGCAGCTTGATCCGCAATGTTGGAGTGCCTGTGCAGTGGTGAACATGCGGACTCCCCAGAGTCTGGATGCCTTTGTGTGCACTTTGAAGGATCCCTTACACAGAACAGCCACGCCCTTTGCGAAAGACTTTCGCGATGTGCACATCCCGTCCAACTGGGATGGACAGCACGTGCTTCGACGCATGGCAGCCATGGAGTTGCAGAATGCATCTGCGGTTGCGCGGCGAGAGGCATTGCCACTTTTGGATGGACCTTTGGTGGCGGAGATCATGGCGCTGCGAGGTGACGTAGATGGCCGCAAACCAGTGGAGAGTTTTGATTTGTTGGTCGCAGCTTTGAAAGATGCGCAATGCAGCATGCCTGACCAACCGGCCTGGTTTCAGAGTGCCTGGGGTGTGAAAGAGCCGGAGCAACTACATGCCCTTGCGCAAGACTTTGATACATTTCTGACGAAGCATGACCTTCGGGATCTGTGGACGGAGGCATCTTTGGGTACTGCTATGGTGTGGGTGGGCTGGTTTGGCATATTGCAGCATCGGGATCAAAGAAAGGCAAAGGTAGAGGAATGGGTCTCGGAAAGCCGTGGTCTGTTCAAAAGTCCGCCTGCCCAGTATGTATTGTCAACTCGAATGGATACCTATGCTTTCCCACCGTTTTTCAAAACCGATGCAGAGTCCATGTATGGTGTGGCAGGTGGAGCAGAGTTGCCAAAAGGGTTGTTGCCTATTTTGACAGCTCCTCGAGTGTGTGAACTGTGTGGAGATGGATTTGTGAATTGGACAGATCTGTCTGCGCATGTGGACCAGGCGCATGTGAACTGGGCAGAGTACCGTAAGCGCGTCTTTTGGCATGCGCAGCATGAGGAAGCTGCTCCTTGTCATGGTTTGCCCATGTCTTGGGCCCGCAAAAGACGCATCCTTGGAAACGCAACCGCCCAACTGGTCAGCGTAGCCAGCCAACCGTTAGGGGATGAGTCTGTTTCAGCAGCAGTGAGAACTGCAGAGCCTCGAGCCCCCGAGCGCGAACCTCGTGCCATGGTGGGATGCGCTGTGTGCGCAACGAAGGAATGGACCGAGCGGATGCGCCGGTGCTACATGTTTCGCACTTTGCCTTTGGGGAAAGAGGTGCGGGAGGAGATGGACGAGGAGGAAGCAGCTGAGGCTCAAGCTGGTTCGGCAGATGAGCAGGCGGGTCGTCGGCGGAGCAACTTGCTTCGAGATAAGCACGGTCTGTATTATTTTGGACCAGCCGAAGAAATTCAACAGCTTTTGGGAGTGGACAAATACGCAGAGCGGTGGCCGAAGATTCCAGTTGCCGAACTACACGCAAGTTCGGTGCAACATCCGGATCGCCCTGGCTACCGGTGGCTGTTGCACACACGCAGGGTACCTTTGCGGAAAAAGGCAGAGTCTGCGGTTGCGCGCGCAGAGGCTAGCGTCGCGGATGCGCACGCGGAAGGTGAAGCTGCGGTTGCGCGCGAGGCTGGTTCCCGGGATACAGCTGTGGAAGGGCATCCGCCTTGCGCTGGCATCGGGGACAGTAACGGCACGGTGTTCCTTTGTCGGTGGTGTTGTCACAGCTTGTGTCACCGGAAACCCACGCTTCCCAAGCGAGCGCTTGCCAATGACCTGTGGGGAGGCCGCGAGCATCCGCTTTACCAGAAGCTTCGGGACTTGCCGGCTGCACGGATGCTTCTTGGACAAGCTCGGGTACTTTACAGGAAGGTGGTGTTGAACCACAAGCATGGAAGAGATGCGTGTGAGTTGCAACATGGCTTGCAAGGCAATACCACTTTCATAGCGCAGCCGCGAACTTCAGCCGTGGGGAAGTCCTTGCCGCCTTGCATGGAGGACGTGGGTCAACACTTGCAGGTTATTTTTTCTGTATCCCGCACCGACGTAGCCAGAGCGAAACCACTGTTGGTGCCACGTTCCCTTTACCTCGAATGCGCTCGTCTTCGACAACAGCTTTGTCCGTTGTTTCATGAGGTGGAAATCGATGTAGCACGAGCACAGGTTGACCTGAAGGAGGATGAGGCGCCCCCGGGAATTGTATCTGCTGCTGTGCGCATGGAGGAAGCCAACATGTTTCGACCGAATTTGACAGGTCCGGCTAGCTCGCGAGCAGCGGACACGGCAGCGAGGTCGCGGGAAGATGAAATTGTAGAAGCTGACTTGTTGGATGAAGAGCCGGAAAAGTTGGATGCAGAGGCAGAGGGTGAAGAGTCCTGTGCGGCTGCGCAAGGAGAAGCGGGGAAAGCTCCGGTGGAAGAAGCAGAGAACCTCATTGGACTTGATGAGGCCGCGGACAACGATCCTCTGCAGCATTACGTCGTCCTACAGGAGCAAATTCGACGTATACAGGAGGACCAAGCTCGCATTCAGAGGAAGGAAGAGAAGGCAGAGGCCGCACAAGGTGATGCTCAAGTGGTTGCTGGCATGGAACTGACTGCGGCTCGAGAAGCCTGTCGAGGACACGCTTTAGAACTGCGGGAAGTGTGTCGTAGATTGGCCGACAGACATGAACAGAGCATTGAAGCGGAACTGCAACTTCTGGAAGGACCGCGGACGCCGGATGCCAATGTGTTGGAAGTGCGGGCGGGACAGCTCCTGTCCATGTTCCTTCCCGAGTCTTGGTGTTTGGCTTTCACGGAATTTTTCTTCGGAGATTGCTTACCTTTTGATCAACGCAGACCTGTGCGGATTGCGCCAAGAGCGCTCATGGCATGTCTTTTGAAAAGAGAAGAGTTGGAATATCACCTTGCAACAGACGCCGTTCCATATGCGGCGCGGCCAACGTCCAGGTGGGACAACGCGGAGGTGACAGCCATGTTTGCGGATACCGTGCGACGTCAAAGCTTGCTTCTCGCTACAAAAAATGACGTTTCTCAGTCACAAGTCTTTTCAGTTAGACCTGCAAGCAATCGCAAAGGCAAAGGCCGAGGATTTCCAGGCTCTGCAACGATATTCCACGCTGGGTCAGGCTTATGCGAGTGCTGGCAACAGGGATGGACCAGCCATGAAAGCGCTGAAGCATCTGCTGACCAGCACTGCTGTAGTCCCATTGACAGAAGGGAACAAAATGAAACTACGCCATTTCGGACATGCGATGGACATGACCTTCGGCCCGCTCAAATTATTTTTGACGTGTAATTTCGCTGATACCTACATGCCTTTGACCATGACAGTGTTCGACCCAAGCAATATGGAAAGACTGTGCGAGACTCAGTGGGATCTCTTGGCAGAACGACCTCTTTTGCCTGCTTTACAGCACATGCATCGGGTCGTGGCCAGATCGCCAGTGACGCAGGCCCGAGTGTTTTTGCTTATGGAAGAAATCATTCTGACACAGATCCTCGGCGTGCACTCAGCATACATCGGGCAACATTGTTTCGATGATCCTGACATGCCGTCGCGGTTGCGCGTGGCAAAAGATGACCATATGGCGTCCAATGCCTCTCTCGGCGTTGCCGATTTTGTAGAAAGTTTGTTGACGCCGTTGGAGGCGCAGGGCCGTGGCTTTGCTCATGGACACAAAAAGGTCATTAGTCTGCCCAATGATTCTGCCGCCAAACTGCAGACATTGTTTGCAAAGGATGGCCTCGCAATGCAAGCAGCCGTGAAACAGATGCGACAACAGATTGTGGACGCTGTGAGTGTGGTGCAGTATGACACAGCAACGCTTCCTGCTCAACAACTTGGCGTCGCAGTTCCACCAGAACCTTTCTCGCGACAACAGCAAAGACACAGCCGCTTAGATGGAGGCCGATGAGGGAGTTCATGATGCATGTGTCCTTCAGTTCAATGTGTTTGTAATGGATTCTTTTACATGACGTAAGCTGGACAAGGGATACATGAAGAGATGTAGATTGTGTGACGAGGTTTAACTATTCTGATGGTTTTGCAGATCACCATAATAGTATACGAGCAACCAACGCTTGTATGCATTGTGCATCGGCTGTCTTGGCCGTTGTGCAGGCGTAGAAGAGTCCGGCGATCATCGGATGCTTTTGGAGGTGACGGAAAGCGAACCGCCTGGACATATTGCGTTGGAAAAAGAAAAAGCTTCGCAAGAGCAGCGACCACCAAGACATGGTTACAAGGATGTACCGTTGACGGGCTGTCATCAATCTGTCATGCCTCTCTATCGCTTGCCGGGTGCTTTTGGAACTATATGCGAGCCAGATGACCGGGGACTTTTCCGAGAGCCGCCGGCTGCGGTTGCGCGCCCAAGCAAGGACCATCTGCTGTTGCGATCAGATGCGCAGCCGTGGGTTTTGGACGGTTGTCGTCGGGTCGTTGGTTTGCGGTTACCTACTGGACGTGTTGCGCAGTGGGAAGATACGTGTGCAGATGCAGAAGCTTGGGCAAGGGCATTTGGAAAAGATGTTCGAGGTCTCTTTTGTCAAAACCATGACCACAACTGTGTCGCGACCTGTGCAAAATATGCTGCAAAACACATGGGAGATGAGACAGGCGCACCTCGGAAAACGAAGGCTTTGGATCCTCGCTCCTATTGTCGGTTTTTGTTTGTTCGTGTCGTGGAGCTGAAGGTCGGGGACAAGCTGAAGCGTTTACTGCGACGAGGGAAAGAATTGGTTCGGAAAGCGAGTGTGTTTTACAGCAATACTCGCAATGAATACGGACGCGTGCAAGTAGTTCGCAGACACCCCTTCAGATCCACTTCCAATGACCTGTGTCAAGCTTTTGCACGTTGTAATGTGGATTTGCAACGAAATGATCGTGTCGTACCAAGTGAGACGCCGGAGTTCAGCCTAGTCGATTTGAAGCCTGTGCAGTTCTTCTATGGACACGCTCGATTGTCTGCGGATGCGCGGCATATCCTCGCATGTTTGGCAGAAGGGGTGCGAAGCTCGCACGTGTGCGATTTCTACATGACCAAATATCTCGCCAAGGGTCAGCAAGTTCTTGCAAGTGCCATTACTCCTGTTCTGCACGGCTTGGAACGTTTGGATGCAGAGATTACAGCAGGGAAAAAGATCTTGGGCACCACCGAGGACCTAGCGCGTGCCAAATTGCGGCGGATTTTGTTTAGCGCCAACCGCTCTCATTGGTTTTCCTCTTGTGAGCTTGCAATCTTCGTCCTGACTGGTGGGCACAGCGTTGCCACACACATCGACCGTCCTTTGTTTTTGAGCAAGGTTTTTTACTTGCTGGAAGAAGGCAAACGCCTGTGGAACGGAGCACTGGCCGGCGATTTCGTGCAAGATGCGGCTCGTCCAGCTGATGTGGACGTGGTACATGTGGTTCCATTGCCGAGAGAATCCACCAAACGTTCTGCGGAGCGCAGTTCCTTGGAACAGGACGGTTGTCACTCCGAAGACAAGAAACGACGGATTTCCGAGTCGAGGTCTACAGCCGCAAGTGGTGAACATGTTGAAGGAGATGGTGCGGTTGCGGTGGATGCATCATGTCTTGAAGTTGCGAAGACTGGAGATGAAGCATGTGTGGGTGCACCGTGTTGTGAGCGCGTGGACATGGAGCCGGAACAACCTGGTGTTCGGATGTTTCGCGCCACTGCTTCAACCTTCGATGATTGGCTGCATCGTGGATTCTTCCTACAAGATTTGAATTTTCACAGTTATGTCGCGTATATTGAAATCGTTCCTCGCCAACAGGGTAAGTTGGGCGATTGTTTCCTCTTTGATGAGCATTATCTGAAAGCAAAAACCTACTGGCAGCGGTTGGCTCCTCGTATGGCCGTGCCACGCGTGGTAGGCGCAGCTTGCAGTCGCACGGACGTAGGGAATGGTGAAGAAAACGCTCGCTACAAGTTGACCCTGTTTGGATTGATGCGTTGTCCCGGAGTGGGTGCCTGTGCTGACCCTGTGAGTTTGGCTGCAGCCTATGTGTGTAGCCAGCAGACTCAGGATATTCGATTCTCTCCTGCTTGGCGTCTTCGACGCGCGGAAGTGGAAGTTTTGGCCACTGAAGCTGATCGGAAAATTCGCATAGCGAAGAAGTTACCCACACTGGCAGATACCACGACGTTTCGCTGTCTGGAAGGTAAAGGTTTCACTTGGTGTCACATTTTGGTTTCCCAAGCTCTGTACCATGGACATAACAAACATGTCTGCGTCGGAACGCAAAATTTCCAGAAGCTTGTAGTCTGTATTTCTGCTTATTTGGCACCAGTCGCGGATACATTCGCGGCGGAACAGTTACATCTGGCTGAGTTTGTTGCGCATAGAACACGGGACATGGTGTTCCGCTTGGACATGCATACAGAAGCTCGAAACACTGCCATTCAGATAGCCAAGGACAAGACGACCGCGAGTGTCGAAGATGATACCGCATCTGTTCGTTCGGATCATCAACAGATCATGGTCGAGATCGAAAATGTCGGTGGTGAACCCGACGCTGTCGAAGATGACCGAGTGGGTGAAGCGAACGTGGAGCGACCCATGGCAGGAGGCATTGAACTCATGACGCTCCTGCCGCAGGACTGCTATGTCTCAAACTCTTATTCTTTTTTACCTCTTCGGGTTTGTTGGTTGCTATGTTATGATGTCTTGTCTGTGTCCATGGCTTGATCGATATATTATAAGCGTCCAATGGTTCCTCTGTCGTGAATAAATTGCGTATAGTTTCATGTAGACACTGATGCGTATACATCAATATATGTACAGAGAGAGAGGTCATGAGACATGAGATGCACATGACGTGGTCTTCAGAAGGAACAGCATGACAATGGTATATGTTACCCACATCGCTTATTCATCTGTAGGATCCAGATGCCGTGCGAGCACATCTGCTGCATGTCTCAGAGTTGGAATCCGCAAAGCAGCGTGGCACCCGGACTTCGGATGCAGTGCGCTTCATGTTGGAAGTGGAGAAAGCATTGAACACAAAAGTGGCACTTTGCCATGAACACTTTCCCGTGGAGGACTCTGGAGGATGGATGCCACAAGCGTCCGTTGAGCTTTTGTTGTCTGCTCAGCAACAACGTGTGGAGTTCTATCGCAAAATGGATTCAGCAGATGACGCAGCGGAGGAGGCGACCGTTGCGGTTGCACACGCAGAAGAAGAAGCGGTTGTGCGCTTGGTGGCGGCGGATCTGCGACTGCGCGGTCCGGCGGCGGTGGCGAAAGTGTTGGCCGACAGAGCCACTTTGAACCGCGATCAACTTGGCTTCGTCGCCATTGTTGCAAAAATTCTGCAAGATGCCTTTGAATCACTTCCGCCAAGTGGCGATGGTATGCTCGCCAAGGATCGTGTTCTGTTGCGATGTCTGCTGGTTGGAGGCGGTGGATGTGGGAAGACTCGGATCATCAACATGGTTTTAAGACCGTTGTTTGAAGCAGTCTTTGGTGATGGTTCCATGCAAGCGCAGGCGCCTTCGAACAAAGCCGCTCGTCAGATTCATGGCCGAACCATGCACAGCGCAAACAAGCTGCGCAAAGATTCATCTTTGCGGACCGTGCATTTGCGTGTTTCCGCAGAGACACGGAAGGCTTTGGAATGCAACACTGTCCCGCTGGCTGCCATCGTCATCGATGAATTCTCTCAATGCATTGGTCAGATGCTGCATGCGGATGCGCTGCGGAAGTCTTATGGTCGGCAAAGGGCCCTGGGGCTGGAGCTTCATCGTTATGCGGAATTGGACGAGAGCTGGGGGCGTATGCCGGTGGTCGTCATTTCTGGGGATGAACTGCAATTACCTCCTGTTCCTTTTTCGCATTCCTTGCTTGCCAGTGTGGATGGAACCAGCGATGAACATAAAGCCGGCGTGCATCTCTTCGGTCAATTCCGTTATGTGTACCGCCTGCAGACGGCCATGCGTTTCCAGGATCCAGTTTTGGAATGTATCCTGAGGAAAATGCGAACTCCGGGTGGTGCGTTGTTGACGCAGAGCGAATGGCAGGCGTTGGTGAATACCAACATCAGTGGATCCGGCGACAGCGCTCGCTTGTCCGGCACTGAGCATTTTTTCCAAGCTTGCTACACTTGGTCTGTGGTTAGCATGGCCTATACCATTCGCAGTTTTGAATCAGCAAAAGCAGCGGGCAAGACCTTGTATGCCACTCGTGCTGTTGACATGATCCAAAATCTGCAGGCCGACAAAGCTGCTGCTATCGCCCGGGCTGTGGTTGCGCACCCAAACATGAACGAGACCGGACGGCTTCCTCACTATGGTCTCTATCACGTTGGTATGGAAGTGCGCTTCACTCAGACAGTCGCTGCTCCTCATGTGGTGGTAGATACAATTGGAATCATTCGGGGTTTTGCGTTTGCTTCGGAGGATCGGAGTCGCACTGATTTGCATGCATCTTTCGTCGTTTTGCGACGCTTTCCGGAAGCTATTTATGTGGAGCTGCAAGATGTGCCGCAGAAATTTCTGCCCGATGAAGCCTGTCTTGAACATACACCGCACATGGACGCCGAGTGTGCTGCATGCTTGCGGATGCGTGGCGTGTTTTTGGTGCGACCATTTACGAATCAACAAGGTTGGTCGCTGAAAGTGACGATCCCTGGATCCCTTGCTACTGGTACAGAAGAAGAGATCTCTGTCAAGATTCGTAGGACGCAGATTCCGTTGGTGACTGTGAAAGCCAGTACTTTGCATGTGTTGCAAGGTACAACGACAGATCCTGGTTTGATCTTTCATTGGCGCTTCCCTCGTCGACTCCAAGCAGACATGAGGTGGTTGGCTGCATATGTGGCCTTGTCACGTGTGCGCTCCTTGGATCGTCTGCGATCTGTCGGTCTCGACAATAAGATTCGTGCCATCTTGGAACAAGGACCTCCAAATACTTTGCCTGCCAGATTCCATGTTTTGTTCTCGGACAAAGAATCCGAGACACAAACCTTCGCAAAGGAATGTCTCAGACTTCTTCGATGGTGACCCTCATGTCACCAGATCACCTCCAGTACCTGAAGCAAAGAGAGGAAAAGTAATCAAAAGAAATACTTCGCTTCGGTGTCGCCTTGGCTACAGTGGTTTCTTGGCTTCTACTCTACCTTTACTAGCTACAGGTAGTAGCTGTCATGAGAGCATTTGTGACTCTAGCTTTGTTACTTCTCTGACCTTCTTGTCTACTGAGATCGAGGTCTGCAACCTTTTCTGCATCGGGTTCATGTCCTTTTGATGGAGTTCGACTCGGATGTTGGTTTTGTGGCTCAATTTCTAATGCATCGCATAGGGACGCTGTGTTCTATGCATGGCTTGAACCTGTGTGAGTCCCACAAGTGTTGACTCTTATGACGGTCAAAGTCGAGAAACCGGGCGGAGGTGAAGATAGGCGTCGCTCTCCTTTGTCAGAACTGCAGGCCGCCGCGCGACACGGTCGGTTTGTGGTCCAAGTAAAGTTTCAAAAGGTGGAAGAGTACACATATACCCGGCAAGGCGCGCCGACCAAGGGAAAGCGGTTGCACGTGCTGTTTGCTAGCGCGGAAGAAGGTGCATATGTGTCTGGTCGCATGGTCATGTGGCAACAGAAGTCTGGCGAGTTGGAAGCTGCGGCTGCGCGCTTCCAGGTGGGTTTGCACTTCGAAATGAAATCTGTCGTCTTTCTCCAGAAAGAGGTAGCCGAATATATTCACACTCCGTTGAAAGTGGTTCTGGATCTGCGACAGACTCACTTCGATTCGGTTCTACAGGGACAATTTCCCAACTTTTGCCTGGGCCCACCGACACGTCTGAAAGACATTCTGGAGTTAACAGATGGTCGACAACGCTTCGATATCACGAGTCTCGTGCGGCTGCGCGGAGACCCGCGTACCGTAACCACCCGGCAGGGTCAACGTGTGGCGCAGGACATCGTGCTTCGAGACGAGTCTTGTGTGCAAGACGGACATCGGGCAGAGATCACCACGTCCATTTTCGCGGAATCACAAGCGAAACTGGAAGAATTTATTGCTTTGAATCTGGAAAAGCCGTTGACTTTCTTTGGCTTCGATGTGCAAGTCCGTGGTGCTGAAATCAAGGTCACTCCATCTTTTCAAGACTTTCGCTGTGAAGTGGCTGTCTCCGTCCGTGCGGCTGCGCAGGACGAAAGACAGAACGAGATTTGGAAGGAAGCAGGGCAGACGCTGACGCATGAATGGCAGCCCTCGGTTTCTACGGACTACTCAAGCAAAGAAGGCTTTTTATCCTTTTGTGCTTTGCTGGATGCTTATAGCCAACAAGACGCAGCTGCCTTGCATGGCAAGTTGTTTCAACTCAACAACATCCATGTGCCTTACCCACCGGAGCACCACACGGTGGAACGACGTGTGTTTTGGTCCACACGGATTCGAGATTGTAGCGGCAGCTTGGAAGTCGCCATTCGACAAAAGGCAGCCTGCCAGCTCGCCAAAATCGATACAGCTGATCACGAGAATGCCGTCATGGAGTTCAATAGTCAGCATGGCGGTGACCTGTTATCGTGGCCTTTGCTTGCCAGTGTCAAGATCTTGGTCACACTTCGTGGTGACAATGACTCTGGTGCCACACAGGCGACTGACAGCGTCTCCACGACGAGTTCCTCGAAGCGGATGCGCTTCTTAGTTGTGGAAGCTTCGGAGCAGGACCTGCAAGCGACGCCCACAAAGGCTGTGCTGGCCGTTGTTCATGCCTTGAGCCATGTGCCGTGCAGCGGAGACGCGTTTGCGGCTGCATTGCTGTCGCAATTGACCAAGAATAGTTTTGGCGTTTTTCAAGTGCAGCCAGAGGTTGTGGTAGCGCACCTGGAGACTGGTGCCTTGGAACGCCACGCTAAACGTCGCCGGGTTACTTGTGCGAAGGCCTTGGTGATGCTTCTTTCGAAAGAACGGACGCAGCAAGAAGCGTTGGGCTCAGACAGTTATGGCATTCGGTTGGTGACCAAGAATGTTCGCGACGCTTTGGCTCCAGATGCAGGCCCTGTGACTGTGGTGGCATATTGTCAGCGACATGCTTTGAAGGATTTCATTTTGGATCCTCCACGGACTGGAACCAAAACCCAATACGCTCTGGCATTGATCTCCGATCTGAGCACTACATCAAGTGAAACCACATATGTGGTGGAACAATTGCAGTTGCTGCAAGAAGGCGATGCAGAAGCTGCAATGATATGTCTGCGGCGTTTGGAGCAACTGACTGCCTTGATCGCTTCTCGTCAACAGACGTCGGATCCCCTACCAGCCTGGACGGACACATTGGCGGAGAGTGCCTCCCGCATCGCTTGTCCACGCATCTCGGCCTATCCCGCAGGGGACACATGGGAGAGTCCAGTGAAGGCGTCCCAGGAGGTACCGTTCACGACCGCTGACACCCCGGGCACAGGCTAGCTCTTAGTTGTCTCCCTTCCGCTGTTGCTGCGACTGCGCGCAACATGGTTCTCTTACTACAGAATCTTTTTTGACTTTCCATGAGGCATCTGTTGCTCATGTGTCATTCTGCATGAACCTGTGTTACTCTGCGGCTGCGCGAGGCCGATGACTTTCTTCTCCTACCTTGAAAGATTGCCGGCCACGCCGCTGCGCGCTGGATATCGTGCACCTTGGATTGACGCATGCAACTGAAAGAAAATATGTGTTGCTTGCACTTCCTGAGTGTATGTTACGAACGCCAGCCTTCGTAGAAGACGCCAGCTGCGTTGTGTTGCGAACGACGGGAGTCTTCTAGGGGGTGTGGGGGGGTAGCCCGCAAAAGTGCTAACTGAACTCGGAGCCTCCTGCTGAACCCCATGGCGGCCAGGGAAGGTTTTTGAGGTCGTTTTGGAGGCGATTTTTTTGTTCGTGTTTCTGGGGTGCATGGTGATGCACGGGATGCAACGAACGCTCAGTACCTCTGCGGGCAGTGTACCGCGCCACGCCCCAATCACGTAACACAGCCCTGCATCTTGATTGGCTGTTCTCACCAGGCCCCAAAGCAAGCAAGAGTTCTTGGACCCTTCCAGCTTCCTGTGTAGCCACAAGGACGTCAGCCTTCGTAGCAGACGCCAGCTCAGTTGTGTTTGCGAACGAGGTGAGTCTTCTAAAACATTGCGCCTGCCACGAAATTTACAAAGGCTCCGATGCCTTGCACCTACCACGTAAAATGACGTTTTCAAGGCTCCAATGTGTTGAATTCCTTGCGCCTGCCGTTCTAGCAAAATTTGTCATGACATGTCATGACTAGTTAAGTAGATCTCTGGGGCCATGACACTCCAGCTTGGGACAAGCGGTACTGCCACTGTGACAGGTCGAGGAGATTTGCGTTCAGGCCAAATGCACTTCCTGTCCGAAAACGAGCACGGCGCTGCACGAGAGCACCGCCCCGGAACAGCGGACAGCATCCCCACCACTTTGTGCGAACCTGCGCAGTCGGACTGGACATGAGGAATTCACACAGTAACTTTTGCGCGAGCGGGCCAGTCAAAATGCTCCAGACGAACACGCTAACCCTGATCTAAACCCAGCCTTACCTCCTACCGTAAGAACCCCGACTCACGAGCACAAATACCAAAATTGGCACGAGCACGGCGCCTGCATGACTGCACCTGCACCGCATCTTTCTTTCTAGCTGGTTCAAACCCGCTCGACAACCTGCTTCTCGCCTGCTTTCGTTCTGGACCCATGGCGCATGACGGAGCTCCGCACGCCGCGCAGGAGGCGCTGCCTCCTGTTGCTGCGTCTACATGGCTGGCCCCCGAGGCAGAACTGGGTGACTCCGTTGTGGCTGCACACGGGCATTCTTTGGCTTTCCACGCGTCCACAGCACCATATCCTTCGGTCCCTGTGGTCGATCTTACCGGCGCGCACGACGCCTTGGTCTGCATGACAAAGCAACCAAGGGCTGTGATTACCATTCACACACGCGCCCTTCGCCGCCACGCGCCACGACAGGAGATGCGTTCTCTTTTACTTGAGCGGACGGCGTGGATCAATGACCATTGGTTTCCTGATCACTCCAATGAAGGATACTGGGAAGAGCTCTCCAATTCGGAGACATGTCCCTGGCACGATTTCATCGCGACCCTGCCAGAGGCGTCCAAGACCGTGGCGTGCGGTCCCAGGGGCGTGGTGTGTTTTGGCATCGCCTCCTTCCCGGAGGAGTTGGACCCCAATACACACGCCCCTCGCGTGGACTTCCAGGTGTGGCAGCAGGATGGATGTCATGTTCGGTTGCATCCCGGAAAGAGTGCCGCTGGCGACGCTGAGCCTGTGGTTCTGTCTAGTGGTCCTGCGGTGACTTCGCGGAAAGCCTTTACTGCCAGGTTTCAGCGTCGTCTCAACCGCTGATGGCTTTCTGTGACCTTTCCTTTGCGTCTTCGCAGCGGCTGCGCGCGGACGGTTCCAAGTGCTTCCACTGCCGCCCAGCCAGTCTTCCTGCTGGGCTTGGTATGTTGCTTGTGCTCGGATGGCTGTTGCGGCTGCGCACAGCTAACTTCGCTGTCTCGCGTGACGTCGTGAGGGTTTTGCTTGCTTGTACTCGGATGGCTGTTGCGTTTGCGCACAGCTGGCTTCGCTTTCTCATGTGACACCGTGAGGGTTTTGCTACTTCTTCTCTGCGCGCGGCTCTTGAAAAAGCACAATTCCGCTGCTCGGGTGGGCGCGCTTCTACTTTCGTACTGTCTGACTGCTACATTCTTCTATAGTCATTCCAAAGTATTGAAGTAGTGCTTGAGCATGATTCATGGCTGCTTCGTTCACGGGCGCTCCTTCCTAACTGCTGTCTTAGACCGCTCTTTTGGGATTGCTCTTTTGGATCACCACGACTCCATCACTACACCAAAGTCACTCTCACGGAAGAGCCGAGCCTGATGGAGATTCCTGTGGCACTTTGGACTTTGGCCAACAAAGCCACTGCCGGGCGGTTGCTGCTATCAGTGGTGGCGGTGCTGGTGGTACTGCTGGTGGGGGTGACGGTAGTGGTCGAGCCAAGAGCTTCCTTAACCTATGTGCTCTCAGGTTGGTGCTTCTCTGTGCTGTCACACTTGTGCTCTCATATGAGTGCTCTGATGTGCTCTCATATGGGTCTTTTCCTATGTATACTCTCATATATGTGCTTCTATGTGTGCTCTCATCTGTTTTTTTAAATCGCTGGTTCAATCCCGCAGTGCTTCTATATGTGCTCTCATGTTTTTTTTTTGACAGCTGGTTCAAACCCGCTGGCACATTGTTTTAGCTGCTTGGGATCCGCTTTCTTTCCATAGCGCCGCTTGGCTTCAGCTTCGGATCCCCTTGTGTCCGAACGTGTGCGACCAAGATGGCGCAACAACAAGATGATTCCACGACCTCTCCGGATTTTGATCCGTCTACTTCCGCATCGCCTTCCCCGCCTCGAGCTGCGGCTGCGCGCTCCGCTCCTGGCGAGGGGCAAGAGGCATCTCTCGCCGCATCTGCCTCATGTTCTCCACTTCCACGTCGGCCGAAGGACAGGTCTGTGGCGGAGGCTGTGTCTCCTTTTTCTCCCCAGAGAGTTGCGGATGCGCGCTCCAGAAGTCCTAGGCGCCAGCCATGCAGACAGGATGTTCACGATGCGCCAGCCGCCGCCGCTGCAGATGCACGCGGTGAGTCTCGTCCACAGAGACAGGAAGCAAGTCGTTCGCACAAAGCTTCTCGTCGCCCCGGAGTTGCGGATGCGCGCTCCATGCATCGCGGCCGAGCACACGAGCAGGATGACCACAGAGGAAGCCAAAGCCCACGTAGCCGTAACAGTGTCACTGGTGGTGATGGAGTTGCGGCTGCGCACTCCGCTGGCGTGCGTCTGACGCAACCTCCCGTGGCCATCGTTCAACAGGAGGGGCGTACTTTCATGCCCGTGCCCGCGTATATCGACGAACCACTACCAGAAGAGATGCCTGACAGCGCCCTGGCCTGGGATGGCGAGCGGTATTCACGGGAAGAGTTTTGTGAGTACTATGGCGATGCGGTCCTTTTCTATCAGGCGCAGCAGCTGACGTACTTCTGCAGACAGTATCTTTCCACCTGGTTTGACTACTCGCGGCAGCAAGAAGACCACACGGCTTTGCACCTGGTCTTGCGTCTGCTGAAGCGACAAGAGCTGCGAGACAATCTGGCGCTGGGTGACATACTGCTCCGCTACTGGTATCGTGCGATGGTTCTTCGCGTTGAATATCTGGGAGCTGGACCCGATGGCCATCTATGCACGGACGCCGAGTGCCAAGCAATGGATCGGATGGTGCTGCAGTGGGCTGTCGACTATGACACCGGTGAGCGTCCCGCAATGAAAGCGCGACAACTGCAGCGTCTCTATTGGCAGAAATGGTTTGGTCACAAAACGCTTGCCCTCACACTGGCCCAGAATGGGGTCCGCCATTGGATGCGTACTCACCTGGCGCTCCAGACGGTTGCACAGGTCCACGACAGTGATGCATTCCGAGCTGCGGTTGCGCGTTCGCGTGGGGAATACACCGACGACACGCACCCATTCCAGCCTACCACAGGAGAGATTGGGGTCTGGCGTGCCCGACTTTCCTGATGTCACTGCGTCAACTGCAGTCACCGGTGCTGATCCTGTCTGCCTCCGCGCCGCTTTTCCGCTGCGGGTGCGCGCGGATGGCATCCAAGCAATTCTGACCTCGTCTCGTTTTACCTCACTGCTATCTGTTTCGGGCTGAGGCGGAAAATCAAGTGTGGCTGCTCAGTTTTTCGAGCTCACCGTCTGATTTGAATCTGACGCTTGAGTTGCATGAACGGTTTGCATGGTTTTCATGGCATGTCGGTTGCATGTCAGACAAGGTTTCCAAGGGGTTTCTTTGTTCTTTTTTTATTTTTCCTCATCGCTCTGAACGTCTCTGCTCATACATGCTTTTCATGTTTCAGGAATCAACCACCAAGACTCATGTATCACATGTTTCAAAAATCCACCACCAAGACTCGTGTATCATCATGGCGGTTTGTTCCTCCACAGTGTACCTCTTCCTCACTATGTCATACACTTTGACACCCGCATCCGTCCTTTTCTGCCCCCGCAATGGCGACCCTCCGTGTCTCTCCCGCTGCTCCCTCTGCGGCTGCGCCTGCCACCTCTTCGCGGACATCCGGTCCTGCTGCGCGTCGCAGTGTGGCTGCACCTGCAGCGCCTATCTTTGCAACATTGCGACTGGCCTTTTACAACGTTGGCTTGCAAACGGCGCAGCTGCAGCCAACTGCGCCACGCTGGACAGAATACATGAGCCGACTGTGCAACGATGTGCGCAGAATCTTCTCGGACATTCCAGATCTCGCCATACTGCATCTTTGCGAGTGCGGAGGCCATGGTGCCAGCGTGCCTCCAGCAGTGCGGATGCGCCTGCAAGAAGGGTGCTCCTCCTGCAACATCCTCTTTCAGGACAACTATG